CTGCAGCGGTCGGATTAATAAATCACCAGTAATAGATATTTGAACAAATTTAATAACAAAACCAGACTCACGAAACCAAGGTTCCAGCGGAGTAACCAGCGGAGACAGGAGAGGCAGGGGGAGGAGAGGCGCGCGCTTTTGCCCGCCCAATATATCCGTAAACAAACGCCTGAGGGCAGCCCGCCCCCAAGGGGAGGGCTTATCCCTACACTGTCCTTGTATTTTAATGTATGTTTGGTGTTCTAGAAGTGCATGAGCCCTAAAATTCATAACCGGATTCAACCCAAATTGGAAAATTGTATGGCTTCCCCAGCTACATCCAGAATGTATTTGTGTGAAGATAACATGACAGGAAGCTCCAGCACAGAGTTTATCAGTTAGCCACCACATAGCTAAGTGTTGGCCACCCCCCCCTCTTTAATTGAAAATAGATTCTTCACTCATACAATACATCCCAACCAAAAAGAAGTACATTTCTAATGTTATCCTACCATCTACCTTGGCTAAAATCAGAAGATTTGAGTTCCTGATTAGTATATAGATGTTATTCCCATAAAATCTGTGAACTATAAAAATTGTGTTCCCTCAATAGTAAAGTTTTATGGCAGTTATCCCAAAATCCTGTAGACCAACCAATGCTGCCTTTCTGTATGGTGACATATTCTTCATGAAATGACAGAAACTGTCACCTGAGCCATGGTCCTTGGGTTTATATTTATTATTATTATTATTATTATTATTACATTAAAAAATACCAATCCAAATTCCCACACTCCTTCCCTTCTCCCACTCCCTCCATACACCCTCCTACCCCTTCCCCCTCCAATCCTAAGAGAGGACAAGGAACCCTGTGGCAAGTCCGAGGCCCTCCCTACTACATCTAGGTTGAGCAAGGTATACATTCAAAGAGAATAGGATCCCAAAAAGCCAGTACATGCAGTAGAGACAAATCCCAGTGTCGCTGTCAGTGGCCCCTCAGTCTGCCCTAGCCATGCAACTGTCAACCACATTCATGGGGATGAGCTTGATCCCATGCTCGTTCACTCCCAATCCAGTTGCAGTTGGTGAGCTTCCATTAGCTCAGTGGGTGAACCCTCATGGTCTTGACCTCCTTGCTCATATTCTCACTCTTTCCACTCTTCACTGTACCTTGGGAGCTCAGTCCAGTGCTTCAATGTGGTTCTCTGCCTCTGTTTCCATCTGTTGTTGGACAAAGGTTCTATGGTGACATTTAAGATAATCATCAGTCTGACTACAGGGCAAGGCCAGTTCAGGCACCCTCTCCTCTTTTGCTTAGGGTCTTAGCTGAGGTCGTCCTTGTGGATTTCTAGGGATTTTTCTAGGGCCAGGTTTCTTGCTAACCCCATAATGGCTTCCTCAATCAAGATATCTCTTTCCTTGCTCTCGTATCTGTCCTTCCTCCATCTCTACTATTCCAGGGCCTTGGGTTTTTAAAAGACGAAATAGTGTTGTTAATATTTCTGAAGCCTGTATTGAACACTCTTCAGGCAGTTGGCTTCCTCAGCTGAGAAGTCTGGGGAACAGTGAGCTGGTCGCCGTGTCCTATGCATTTGTGTGATTATTTAAAATTCTGTTCCTTCTAGCAGACAACATTGCGCTGTACTTTGAATTATAACAATAGAAAACAAGTCTCTAGTGAATGGTAGAAACCATAGGAGAATACATTCTTTGGTACTTAAGAGGATTGAGACTATGTATGTGAAACCAGAGTGGACTAGCCCACTGGTGCTGGGCTAATCACCTCTCCTGGAAGGCATTTCGCGGTGTCATGAGCCAACATCATGAGCCACTGCAATGACCAGGTCTTTTCTCATAAATGAAAACGTAGGGGAAATGCAGGGAGTGGAGTCATGTAACCATGCAGCTGGCATCCCTGGTTCTTCTCTCATTTAACAGGCTGAATGTGTGTCTTTTACAGAGGAATTCAAGGGCTCCACCGTGGTGGAGCTGATGAAGAAGGAAGGCACCACCCTCGGCTTGACGGTATCAGGAGGAATCGACAAAGATGGCAAACCGAGAGTGTCCAACCTGCGGCAGGGAGGAATTGCTGCCAGGTAACTGCTTCGTAGGGAAACAGAGAAAAATGTATAAGGGTATAATTAACTCAAAGCATTAGAGTTCATCGGAAAAGGTCACTGATAGAGAAGGGATGGCTGCTGTCTGCCAGGCAGTGCCTCCCCACAGAAGCACAGCAGGCATGCTTCAGGAAAGGCTCCCCAGCTCTGCCAGTGGCTGTGCTGAAGCCACTGGGGACTTATGTGTCCCCTCAGGAGCAGCCCAGCTCTCGCAGGTTTAATTTCGACAAGATTGCTTAAGGTCTGACTGTGCCTCTGGAGAGCAAATGGGCTGCAGAGGAAAAGTGACATTCAGATCTCCTAAGTGTGGAGCAGATGACCCGTAAGATGTAAACTGGTGATGGAGCGAGGGAGGGAGGCACAACTCCAGTTTCTAGGCAGAGTATTTACTTTTCCAGGCAGGAGACTTTGCTTTCTCACCAGTACATAAGGCGTTTCCTAGAGGAAACACTGAGCAGGAAGCTTGCCTTGTCTGTGTGTCCAGTGATAGATACTTTGACTCCTGGCCAGTGGTCTCATTGCCTGCTCTTGGTTTGGAAGTCTGTCTAGTAGGTAAAGCCCAGAGCATTGGGGGTTCTGTGGCCACAAGGGATGATGGGAATGATTCGGAGAATCACATCTTGCTCTGGAATTTCTTCCTCTTCTGTTGTAGGAGCTGCTTGTTTGTTCCCGGCCGCCCAGATCCAAAATAATCACACAGAAACCACATTACTTGCAATACTGTTTGGCCAATAGCTTACACATATTTCTGGCTTACTCTTATATCCTAAACTAACCCATCTCCATTAATCTGTGTATCGCCATGAGACTGTAGCTTACCAAGTTCTGGCATCTGTCTCCTGTCGGGCTACATGTCTTCTCCTTGACTCTGCCTTCCTTCTCCCAGCATTCAGTTCAGTTTTCCCACCTAGCTCTACTCTCCCCTATCAGGCCAAGCCAGTTTCTTTATTAAGCAATGGTATTCACAGCATACAGAGGGAAATCCCACATCACTCTTTGATATTCATTTTATCAGTCATGATCAAGTAGACAACTTTTTTTTTTTTTTGAAGAGCAAACACTAAGAAACAAAATATGCTATTTCCTTGACTCTGAGTCTGGTCCCACCCTCAACGAAGACATTAAAAGCTCTGAAATGTCCAAAGGGCAGGTGAAAAAATGAGAGGGAAGAAGAAGAAAAGATTTGAAGTTTCTAGGATCATGGTGGATCCCTAAAGAAGCAATGCTGGGGGCCAAACAACTAATGTTTTCAAGTTTTGTTTTGTTTTATGATGTTTTAAAAATAAAAGAGGTAAAAGGTTTGAGGAACAATCGGAGACAGGTCAAAGACAATATGGTAGGCACCACTGTGTGGCAGGGTGTAACAGGCAGGGTAAGTAGGCTAGCTCAACCACATCCCACCCTTGCTCAGTCACACTCCTTTGAGATTCCAGTCAGAGGAAGCTGGGTATTCGTTATGTTCCCTGTTAATCTAGATGAGGGAAAGTAAAAAGATAGAAGACTGTCCTGTGGGGAAAATGTGTCCACCGTAGTGACTGCATTGCTTTGCAGAAGTGACCAGCTGGATGTGGGTGACTACATCAAAGCAGTGAATGGGATCAACCTGGCCAAATTCCGCCACGACGAGATCATCAGCTTGCTGAAAAATGTTGGGGAGAGAGTGGTCCTGGAGGTCGAGTATGAGCTGCCACCAGTCTGTAAGTGAAGACAACCCTGGAGGGAGGACTGCCGGCCACAGCTTCCTACCACTGCTGGCTTCTCTTCTCTTTCCCGTCAATGTCACTACAGCAAACAGAGAGCAGTTGTGTCCTATTTCAGAGTAACTTGAAATGGGAGACTACGCATCTCCTTAGAAAGCACTAAGAACACACAGTTGGCAATGAAATCATCTAAGAGCCACGTTCTAGAAAAGTGATCTGTGGATATTGTTGCCATTTAAGTTACTTTATTTAATAAACAGTTAACATAATTTAAATCCTTACCTTACATATTATCCAAATACTGTGCTTAGATTTAGGAAAAGCATGTTTACATGCTTTATATCATCTCTTTGATGCATAAGTTCATGAGAAAACATGAAAGATAATATATCTAATTATTATTAAATGATGAAAATAATAGTAAGTGCAGCAGACAGCTTTGAGAACTTATTAAATCCAGCTTCACCCGCTACTTGTCCTTGAGAAGGTTGCTTAAGCGTTATGTCTCAGTTTCCCCATCTGCAAAATGGAGAGCATTGCTTGCCACACGAAGTGGCTGTTAGCATCAGTAAAGCACTTAGAACATGGCCTGACACTCTACGAGTTTTTAATAAGCAATAGATCGACTAATCAAAACTACAAGACAGGCGTCTGTTCTTTTCAGTCTTTGAAGGTGCAAGGCAAGGCTTTTTCAGGTAATAGGCTGAAAAGTGTCTGAACCCAGCCTGTCTGTCTCACTCTCTTGAAGTATGGCTTCTGCTGGTTATGGCTGCCTTGCGTTGAAGCTATGCTGCTCTGGTTTCCCATGTCCTTTGATGAGCTGTCACCAGGGATATGGCCCTAGCCAGCTCTTTGCTCTTCCCTACCAGCGAGAACTTAGATTATTATGAGTAGTTGGTGATAATCCACGTTTAGCAATGAGTTGACAAGTATTTGCTGTGCCTCGGCCATGAGTGCACTCTAAGAACATCACGACATCAGTTGAGATTACTTTCTACAAGGGTGAGACAGTATTTAGCAAAAGCCATGATAACCATGCTGTATCCTAAGGGACAGGGAAAATACGAAAAAAATAAATCAGAAGTAATTGGGGGTGTGGAAGGATTGGGAACAGACTACCGTGTTACATAGGGAAGTTGGGAACAATAATTGAAAAGGTGACAAGGTCCAGAACTTGAAGGCGGTGAGGGGGAACAGCCATATGAATTTCTGAAGGGAAGGCTCCAGGGAGAAGAAATGGTTGGCAGTAAGAGCAAAAGGCACGACAATGCCAGTGGTTGTTCTAGAAACATGGAGGCCAGCGTGGCAAGAGTGGAATGAACAGGAAGAGAATTAAGAGCCAAGGTCAGAAATGCAAGGTGGAGTGACCTCATGGGTCACTGGGAGGACTTAGGAGCTCACAGTTGCAGCGGCTTCCCGGTGGCTGGGCTTACACAGAAGCAATGGCCACTGGAGACAAAGGGAGAGACAAGTGTTGGGAGAAGGCTGCCAAGATCCATGAGAAGTGGTGGTGAGGAAGATGGGAAATGGATTCTGTGTGCTTTGAATAAGGGGCCTACAGGGCTTCCTAATGAACGTGAGGCAGGCTGTGCAAAAACAGATTTGGGGTCATCCCGAGGTTGTGAGCCTGATATAGTTGCCATTAACAGAGCTGGGCAGGATTGCAGGGAGAACTGGTGTTGGAAAGACAGAATACGACATTTGAGATGCATTTGTCAAGTACACAGAAATAGCAAGGAAGAGGCCAGCAATGTGGGCAAGTGATTTAATTATAAATTGAGATTGAGGGTAATACAAACAGTATTTGAGACTCAGGGACCAGGTGAAACCAGCCAGGCTACGTTAAGTTCTCTGAGCCGTGGGATGCCCACCTGTAACTGGCTACAGCCACTGCTGGGTGTACGCTGTAGGAATTCAGCAGTGAGATCACGTGCTTAGACCGTTGCTACACACTTGGCAAATATTAGCCATTATCATCATCATATGGGCACAGTGGTTTCTTTAACTTGATGAAAGTCAGTTTGCCTTTAAATCGTTATCTCGAAGCATCGCCTGGGGTTAAGAAAACCAACTCTGTAGAGATGTGTCTCTCGTTTATACATTTGCCTCCCACTGAGTGTGTGTATTAGGAAAACACCTTCCCTTCCTAAAGGAATTCCATCTGGTTTATAGGGTCAGGCCCGGAGTGGGGCTTTGTCCAGTGTCATGAATGATTCAGAGCTAAGGCTCGGGGAGAATGGGAAGGGATGGTGCAAACCGACTAGGAGGAGGACCACCCTGAGCAGAGGTCCAGCGAGGGAGTAAGAGCTTACAGTGGCCTGCTCAGGCTGGACAGGGTGGGATTGTCAGAGCAGAAATGAAAGGCAAAGATGTCCAGGATAGCAAAGCAGCCAATGAGGCAACAGGAATCAAATGATGAGGGCCCATGGACTATGTGGGTATTGAACAATCTTTAAGGGCTTCTTAAAAACCATATCGTCAGACCAGCATGTTTCAAGTTATTATTCTAGAAACGAAATGGAAAATAGGTCCAAACAGATGTTCTAACCTATGGGCCAGACGCTGTTACTGTTTCCCAAGACAGGAGATATCCTTGGCCTATACAACATCTACAGAGTTACAGAGAAGGTTGGTACCCAACATGTTTAGGAGATAAATCTGCTGAGGCTTGCTACTGAAATAGATTTGTCTTCCCTGTGCAATAAAATTGACAGGAAAAAAAAGAAAATACGCTTTTAAACACCAAAGTATTTTTCATGATAGAATTCAGTTGGAAGAGGCCTGTCCTCCAAGGATAATCTCTATCTATTTTTCTTACATTTGGAAAATTAATAAGACCTGGGAGTTCAGAAAGGTTGAAGGCATTAGCAAGCCTCTCCTGTACTTAGCTCGGAGCACTGAGACTAACCAGGCCATCGCAGCTAGCTGAGGCCCACCCACGCTAGTTTCTCTCTATTCCTCCAACACCAAGAACCACACACCAGAGCACAGCTGTCTGAGTCTCAGCCTACTCAAGGGCTCAGAGAAAGCTGGGTGTGTATGTCTGTGATGTGAGAGATTAAAAAAAAAAAAAAACTTAAAGTCTGACCATGGGCAATCCACTTGTCTTTCCTAAGATTCGGTTTCTGTATGGAAATGAAGTACGGGTTGACCTGTGCTCCATACTTCATTTTAACTGAGAATTTTCTACTGCTTGCAGACCTACTTGGGGAGATTATGAGCAAAGTGTATCCTCTGTATTTATGCATTAAACATTGACCCAGAAATACGTCCACACTCTGTTCACATAGCCCCAATGGAATTTTGAAATGCTAAGTAATTCTTGGCCATTTTCGGTTGACAGTTAGCATTTTATCATCAGCTTAAATAATGAGAAAGAATGTGATTTGGGGACAATCTATTTACTTAAATGGTGTTTCTGTTTAAACCTTGAAGCTAAAGACTCTCCCTGTTTAATAATTAAAAAGAGAAATCTGTCAGGCCCTTTTGGTTCCTGTTAAATCACCAGCTGAGTGAGCCCAGCTGTCCAACAGAAGGAATCCTTTCTTCGCTCAAATAGACAAGTGAACACAGGTCACTGTGTGGCCTCTGTCCTGACCCTGGGATCATCCTGGTGGGCGTGGTGAAGTCGGAGGGATGTTTGAAGATTTCCTCCATGCAGTGCATTCTGAGGTCGCGTCTGTAAATAGGAGCACTGCTCTAGAGAGTTCTCCCAATGGCAGAGGGTGAGAAGGCGGCCCAACCCACTTCCCAGCCTCTGCTTGCATCCCCTTGCCTCAGAGGCAAACGAGGCACAAGGACAGCTCAACTCCTGGTCTTCTGCAGAGGCAATGAGGATGGAAGAGAGATGGAGCGTTTGACTTGGTGCAATCTTATCTGCCATAGTAAAACAGCTTTCCGGAAACACACACACATTCACAAACAGAAACACAGAGCCACAGTCCAAATAAAATACTGAGGGAGACCTCACCTAGCCCTCTAACCCTTTGGCCAAGCCTCTTCTTTACATCTCTGTGGAATAATGAGTAACATTTACATGGTCAACACCAGGGTTCTGACTCTGGGTGGGAAAACAAAATCAGCTAGGGCTAATAGTGTGAATAAAAGCTATAAAGATCCAATGTGTTTTGTTAATTGTATTAAGATGTTGCCAACAATAGCAGCTGTCATTGTAAATGATGTAAAGTAGCATGTGGATGTTCTGAAGCTGCGGGTAATCCCAGAGTCTTCATACAGACAAGATTTGACTATTAGAATTTTGTGGTCAGCTATAGAAAGCTAAAACAAAATGAAAATTTCAGTACTTAACATTCCCAGGACAGACATCCATCCGACATGCACAGGTGGCCCAGAGCTGGAATTTGGTTGTGTGTAATTGAAAGATAATGTAAGGATTAAATAAGATAATATTTGCAAACCGCTTTGCTGAGTTCTGGACACACAGTAGATGCTCGTCAGGTATTTCTCACCACGTCTTTGCCTTCCTCACACCAATAAAATGAAAATATTATATTCAAAACTAGTTTCTTCAAGTGGCTTGTTGGGTCATAGAGATAAGAAATCATTTAGTTCAAAGTCAGTTTTGTTCTTCATTTAATTAAAACTATCCCTCAATTCTTTCATTTGTTTGTATGCACTGTCCCTAGTTGATTAAACTGAAATTCCCTGAAAAGCCAGGCAATGGCATTCAATTAAATCAGCCATGTAGCAAAACATTTGTTCAACTGTGCATGTATGCTGTTTGTCAGCATATCCAGGTTTTTCCTGTACTCTCTGCCCTGGCCTGGTAGTCGGCAGATCAACTTTGGGTACCAGTCTAATTCTGTGAGTTTAAATGTCTAACTTTTGCCATTGTTCCTACAGCACCCCTTTAGATAATAAACCTAGAATTTCTGACCATTAAAAATAAATACAATTAGTGTTTAATTTAAACCACTAGCTTGTTGTACAGATGGTGAGAAGAGAGTAATTTCTAATGGTTCTTTTCAATTGTCTATATGAAGATGCTTCTTGAATTTGGATGAAGCTAAGTCTTGCGAAACCCATCCGTCTAGAGGTGAAACTGTTGTGAAGTTGCAATCCCTTGAATAATCCTAACCAACCAAACGTCTCAGCCTGATCCACTGGAAATGGCCTCTTGCCACTTAAATTAGCCTCGTTTTTGGTAAAGCATTAGCACAGGCTTATTCTATAAACTAAATGCCAAGTAGCTCGTATCCTCTGCTGAATATCTCACAGAGAGGGAAAGCGAAGCATGTCTGAGTATATTCCACACCACAGTAGAGCCAGCCCGTTGTAACTCAAGCATCCTAAGCCATGCTTTTTATATTGATAGCTTTATGTAAGAAACATGTTAAAATCTCGTAACAGTATAAAATGTGTTGTTGATAATAATTATGGCTGTAGACATTATATGTTTTTTTTTATATCGGATCTCACACCCAGACTATCCTTTAAATTGCTCTAGCCCAGGCTAGGTTTGAACTTGTAATTCTCCTGCCTCAGCCTCCCAAGAGCTGTGGTTACCAGCATGCTCCACCATTCCCAGCTTCCCCTGTACAGTTTTTTTTAAAGGATTGGAAATACTTCTGTACAACACACAAGTTTTTCTTTGTCCACCAACAAAATCATTCCAGCACTCATCACGTTAAAATACTAATTTGTGGATTTTTTTTCATGTAGCAATGGTTTATTAAACAATCATAATCACTCACCATTCCCCAAAAGCAGTTTACCAGAATATTTTATTGACTCTACCTTACATGCCGGATCCCCGCGTGTGTGGTATACTGTAATTAGAGACTGTAGCTTGGCAGTACAATTTCATTTTGTGAAATGAGAGCAATAAAAGACAAACCACAGAACACGGCAATAATAGGCAGATTGAAGCCTATCTTTGTTTTCTTGCCCGTCACGTTTTGAATGTGCTTAGGGTTTCTTTGGCTCTCCATGTTTCATCTGGGCCGCTGGCATGTTTGCCGAACAGCTGTCTATGTGTCAGAAGATCTGTTTGCATCGGCAATCTGATTGTAAGCTGAGAAGAATGAGTTTTCTTCATCTTCCAGCTTCAAAACTAGAAATGAGTGCAGAAATTATTTCATAAGCTTTGCAATAATCATATTACTTTTGTATTTCACAAAGGGAAACGTTTCTATTTATTGGAGATTGCCTTGCTTGCAAAGCAACATAATTTTCACCCCCTATTTAGGATAGGAAAGAATCTAGCTATGACTTTGTTTCTACTTGGAAAAATATGGGTCATTTGTATGTGTAACTACACATAGTCTCTGTATGTCATTACAATTATTTTTTTCTTAGACTTTATTGGCACTATTTATTACTTGTTTTCAAAATAAATTATTGCAACAGAACTTGCAAGCCTATTGTAACACACTGAAAAGTTATAATAGAAATGTTATAACAACCTTAAATTTACGCTTTCCCATCTCATTCCCGTATGCAGCTGTGCAAGGATCGAGTGTTATGTTCCGGACCGTGGAGGTCACTTTGCACAAAGAAGGCAACACTTTTGGTTTTGTAATACGAGGTAGGTGATGGTTAGCAACTGTGGGTCTTCAGATGTTCCTGGAGAATTTTTCGGTGAGAGGCCAAAAGGCATCCTTTAAATCTGATCTTTCCATAGGGTAAAATTATCATCAAGCAAGGAAGACTATGAAAAAGAATCAAACAAATTTCAAATTCAATTTTGTTCTTAGCTCAGTAATACAGTGCAAGTAGCTACTCTTAGTGGACCTGGTCAGTTCCCCGGGACTATACTGACACTGCACTTTCTAATGTTCCTTTGTCCTTGTATCTGGTCTTTATTACCAAATAAAAAATATTGATAGGAATAGATTGATTCAATACTTAGGAATTAAGCAACTTTGTTTATATTACTTTCTTTTGAACTGCACTTTATTCTTACAGCTTTCTAAAAATGGACCAATGATAATCTAACCCTGGGGCACCCTTCTGTGTTGGCTCTCTTGGTCTCATTATGAAATGGCATTGATACCGAAGAGTTCAAGTGACTCTATTAATTCTGAACTATGACTCTAAGTTTTTATGGCTCTGTTTTTCTTATTAGTGACTTTACCCCTGAAAGACTATTGCAATATTATCAGCTCTTAAACTATAGTGTGATAATGAGAGTCAATAATTATGTGTGCATCAGGAAATTTTAACACTACAAATTTGGAGGGAATTTTTCTGTTGCTATTATGACCTATAACAATGCACTTTACAAGAGTAAGACTTCTGCCCACATGATTGATAAAAGACTAACCAATATTAGCATGCATCTTAGTAATTATATGTTCACCAAACACTAAAACAGTTCTGTTCACTTGGACAAGCTTTTCTTTATAGCTGAGCTCTGAATGGATAATTCTAATATGGTCTAGTCATTCAGCAAACCAATTACTCAATGAAATATTTAGTAAGCATACATCCACATGCCAGTAAGACAATAAGTTCTGTATGCCACTTAAGACAAAGAACTTAAGACAAAGACCCTACCTCAAGGAATTAAGATCAATGAACTTGAAACACAAGTTAATAGTTTCCACTAAGTGAGCAAAACTAGGTTTGGCTTGGTGGTTTCGACAGTGTTCTGGTTATAAAGCTTTTCTGGCCAAACTGTATCTTTAAGAGTCTCAATAGGTTCCAAGGCCAGGTTATTAACCACAATCATTTTTTAATTTCTTATAAAAATAATTAGACAAACATTGTAAAAAAAAAAAACTCTCCCTACAAGGTATTTAGGCTAAAGGGTGGTGTATGCAAATCTTCTTTTCCTTAAAACCATAAGGGAAATGCATTGGAAACACATGCCAAAATTTCTAATTATCAAACAACTGCAGCCAAGATTACTGCTGCTGTACATATCCATCACAGTTACTATAAGATTAATTGGTAGCGAATCAAATTGCTGATGAAAGACCTGAGCCAATAGCAATTCATCATCACAAAGGAAAGTGAACAGATGCAACTAAATTCCAAATGTAATATTACCAAAATATCCTTCAAACAGATTTCAGAAATTTCAAAAGTTTATGTGTGTGTGCACAAAGAGATCTCTAGAGGCTGAAACACTTGCTGATACTCGGGTAACACTTCATTCGGACAGGAATAAGTGAACCATGAACTGAATGTTCTTTCATTGAATTTGTATGATTATAGGAACTATTCTGAAAAAATAAAGTCTTCATAGTAGTGAACCAGGCTTAGCCGATGACTGCCACATTTGCACAGACTTGAGGAATTTCCTTGATACACTGGTTAAACATAAAAGTTTGCAGTTTTACAAAATTTTGCATTTCTAAAATCATTTGAGGTCCATCTCTAGAAAGTTTCTCCATTCAGTGAGCAGCCACAACCTACCCACTAATGGTCACTGGCTGATCAGAGTGAGGCACTATGGTGGGCAAATGTTAATACGTCTGATGTTATTGACACAGCTGCAACTTCAGCTAAATTTGGGTCAGCGGGAATACCAGATAAGTCAGGATAAAGGTGGGCATTGCAGACAGAGCATGTCCATTCAGTGATGGAGTTTCTTCTGCCCCTCATCTGGTGGAACTTTGACCTTTGTTAGCAGATGAGTGAAATTTGGTTTCTAATGAAAAAAAAAAAACTTGGTTCCCAAGAATAGATATTCTTCCTATAGAACAAAACGTGTGAACGTCAGAGAGTTCCTTCCTGGAACCAAAGAACATTCTCTGGATCAGCAAGATGGCTCAGCCAGTAATGGTGCTTGCCAACAAGGCCGATGACCTGAGTTGGATCCCAGGAATGCACATGGTAGAAAAACTGACTCCTGCCAGTCATCCTCCCATCTCCACATCCATGTACAAGCTAAAACAATTTAAAACGTTAAAAACAGTTTAAAGAACAAAATCTGTTTCTAGAGAGCGTCAGTATCACCAAACCTGCTTATTACCCTGGACAAGGAAGCTTAGCCCTTCCCGTGTTGACTGTTGTAAAGAATTCTGCTCATTCTAACACATGCATGATATTCACATGTGGTCTCTACTGTGATACTGGCATTGGCTTGGTTTTCTAGGGCTAAATATTGAACCTGGAGTCTCATACATGCTAAGTTCCTGTACCTCCTGCCTCAGCTTCCCAAGTGCTGGAATCATAAATGTGTATCACCACATTCTTCTTTCTTTCTTTCTTTCTTTCTTTCTTTCTTTCTTTCTTTCTTTTTTTAACCACTTGGCACTTTTCTTGAGTTTCTTTTATATGTGGTTGGAGACTTGTTCTTCATCTATACTTTATCCCATGATGCTAAGCATAAGGTGTGCATACCTGAGCATTGTTTACGACTAGGGGATGTCCTCATTGGACCAGTAGTTTCAATTAGTAAGCCCCATACCATTCCAGCTGTCAAATGGCTTCTATCATTCTGATTATTTGTTTATACATATTGAAAGATGGAGAGGTAGTGTCTTCAAAACCATTCTGCCCAACCTGAATAAGGCCTTTAAGGGTTTTCCATGCCAGAGGGCATGTTGCATATTCTCCTCTCCTCCATATATCCACAAGTACACTGCGACATCTCCGCTGGCGCTTTGTAAGTAATTCTTTATAAAGGCAACAATGAGAGTATTTAAACATGCCCTTCTCTTTTCTTTTCTTCTTTTCCTTTGCCCTAGGGGGAGCTCATGATGACAGAAATAAGTCTCGTCCGGTTGTGATAACCTGTGTCCGTCCTGGCGGGCCTGCTGACAGGTAAATTCCATCTTCCTTCATCCTTGTCCAGAATAGACTAGATACAGTTGGGGACTGGGAAAGAGAGAACGACCAGTTGTAACAGCTGGATGTCAAGTGTATATGTGAGACTGTGGAAGCTGCAAGGCTTGAGCTGGGGGAGCAGAGAAAGGAAGGTGTTGCCTCCTCCTCCTCCTCCTCCTCCTCCTCCTCCTCCTCCTCCTCCTCCTCCTCCTCCTCCCTTTACTAAGCTTTCTCTCTGGCAAGTCTGCAGTTCTGAGCTCAATTCCTCCATCACAGGCACAGACAACACCGGCAACCTTTCAGGGTTGCTTGCTTTTAGCAAAGGGTGTGTTGGGTGGCCAGACTCACCAGAAGCACTTACGGAAAGAAATGGGCTCTTTCAAGACAGAGTTGGCTTGTGTCCTTCTGCACTGCCATGTTCCATGGGAAGACGGGCGGGTGCTGTGGCATCACCTCGTGGTGGTGACCGGATCCATCACTGAGGAGTGGCATTTACTCAGATGAAAGTTTTGTCAACCTCTAGAGATTTCCCTTCCTTGAGAATTTGAGTATATTAAGACAAAGTGCTTGTGGATGTTTTCTCATGAGCCTTGCTGGGTCCCAAGTAAACTCACAATCTAGGTGTCCAGAGAGGCTTGTGTCTGTGTTGTTTTCTGATGGCAAAAGTGAACTCAAGAGTAACGGAGGAACACAACTTCTTCCATAGATACTGCTAAAGGGTGGGAAGTAGATACACTAACTGCTTCTGTCTATCCATTTAGAATCAAGAGTTTTTTAAATGTTTGGGAAATAAGTTACCACAATAAATACTATTTATGTATGAAGCACATTCGACATTCCAGAAAGTACACTACATGCATGGTGAATATCACATTACTTTAGCCTTACAATCGCCCTATAAATGAAGCATTCTTATTTTCTCCCTGTTGATCAAACCTCGGCCCAGGATGGCTAAGACAGACTTTAGAAAGAACTAGGGCACATGTCCAGGGGTGATGGTCCTCTGGAGCTCGTGCCATGGGCTCCCGTCTAAGGCAAATATTTCCTGTAAAATAGGAACATGAAAAGCTATTGGATTCTCGGCTGTGCCAGCAGCTAGCATCTCTTTGCCTTTGCCGAGAACAGCACAAAATACAAACATCAGAGAGTTTCAACTTTTTCCTTTCCCACGCTTCTCTTGGGGACTGCTCTGTCTAAAGAAAATAATCGTATACACATTTCTTATTAATCTTTACTCTTAGGGTTGGCAGGGACGTCAGGAGCAAACTGCAGATTACTATCAAGTGAAATTAGGATCCAAAGAAACCTGAGCACAGAATGTGAAGCTTTAGAATTATCTAGATGAACGATGCTTGTTTTGGAGACAATCCTCCCTGGGTCCCACATTTGTCAGGCTGCTTTTTGGCTTTCTCATCTCATACCCTTCCCCCCAGCAGAGGCATCTTTGACCCCGCCCCGTAGTGTCACTAATGTCTTATCGTCATCTCCTGGTGCCTTGAGTCTCCGTGTTCACAGCAGGGAGACTATTACTGGCCGGCCTCATCCTAGGCAGGTGAGGCCAGATTGGCATAATGATTGCTAAATGGCTTCATGACTCAGTAGGGAAATGTAGAGACTAGAAATTCTCACCCACACTCCCTATTCCACTTGGGTTCGCAGCTAATAAATGGGCTGAAATTAGAAGGCTTCTCTGTTCAACCTGACTTTGGGGGGAAAATAGGTGAATGCTATTTCCTGGGCTCCAATAAATCAATTTTAGACTTCAGGTGAAAGCCTACAAGCGGGAAAATGTGCCTCTCGTACTTCTGTCCTCCACGAGTTAACTGTGGGTGACCAGGTTATTTGCTACTGTGTGGTTATTTTCTCATTACTGGTTTTTGTATTACAGCAATTTTCTGTTCCAGGTTGCCTCTTTACACTCTCGCTGTCATTCTTGATGCTGAAAAGAATGCAAATGGGATGGATGGCGGCAAGCATGCGCATGGAAGCATGGTGCTGGCTAAGAGGCTATTAAAGCTGGGCCCCATTATGCAGAATTACTCAAGACCGCTCCTTTATTCTCTCTCTAGAGAGGGCACCATCAAGCCTGGAGACAGGTTGCTCAGTGTGGATGGAATTCGGCTTCTTGGAAGCACCCATGCTGAGGCCATGAGTATTCTTAAACAGTGTGGACAAGAAGCAACGCTGCTGATAGAATACGATGTCTCCGTCATGGGTATGTTGAAATACAATGTCTCCGTCATGGGTATGTTGGAAGCCCCCAGGGTGTGACCTCTTAAGCTCTAGTTCATGTCAGCTGTCATCTGCAAAGTCACCTGGGGTAGCTGTGACTGGCCGCCCCCTCATAGCAGCTGGGGTGTCACAATGCGCATTTTACTCTGCATTCAGGAAGAGGTAGGTGCTGCTTTTCAGTGGTGCAGAGTTCTCGTGTCCACAGCTGTAGTTATGAAGCCGCGTACCCTCAGGGCTTGACCTAGCAATCGTGTCTCCCATACAAATTAATTTTTTTATATTTTTTAAATTTAAAAATAGCAGCAAACTACTTTTTACCTCCAATATCATAAAACTTGAGTTCTGGCTTTCTGATTTTTATGTTGTTGCAGGATAGCCCTAGCAGCCAGAAGTCTTGAGAGTGAAATGACAGAAAAAGAAGCCAGACCGAGTTTCTCCTCAAAGATTCTTTTTTGTTTAAGATTCATTTATTAATTATGTATACAGCATTCTACTTGCATGTGTCCCTGCAGGCCAGAAGAGGGCACCAGATCTCATTACAGATGGCTGTGAGCCATCATGTGGTTGCTGGGAATTGAACTCAGAACCTCCGGAAGAAGAGTCAATGCTCTTAATCTCTAAGCCCTCCTCAAAGATTCTTAATGACTTGAATAACCCAGAGTAAATGCTGGTGACTACATGAATCACTGTGTGTAGGAATATGGCCCACTCTCTACGCTTGTAGGGGAGACAAGGATGCCTAAATGAGACAGAGAAATAATATTTCTCTAGTACAGCTCTTATTCTCACGGTACACACATCCATCCATTTTCTTACAAACAACATAATTTCATTCTTCTTTATGACTGAATAAAACTCGGTGCACATGTGTGTATATACATCTATTTTCTTTATCCACTTGACTGTTGACACTCAATGAATCTTTATTTTGCTATTGTAAATAATGTTACAAAAATGTAGATGGGCAACTATCTCTGTGATAAGCAAAATAGACTCAGAAAAGTATCATATACTTCCTCTCATGTATATAGTCTCTGTCTCTGTCTCTGTCTCTGTCTATGTGTGTGTGTGTGTGTGTGTGTGTGTGTGTGTGTGTGTGTGTGTGTGTGTACTAAAGTGGAAGAAGTTCTACTTAGGGAAAGGGAGAGGAAAAGGACTAGCAAGATAGCCAAGGGGAGGATTGAGAGAGAATATGGGTTGATTATAATCAAAGTGCATGATACTTGAATGGCAGTGTCTTCATCGGCTATATGCATAGTGGACATAAACCAGCAAGGCTTTTGTTTCTCCAAGTAGATTATATTTTGGAGACAAAGAAAATAATAGGTGTTCATTTGTGATGTAATTAGGTGAACATTTTATTTCCAATGAAATCATGTGAGAATTTCTCTTGCTTCCCTGCTTCACCCAGCACTTGGTATTCTTGTCTTTCCCATCCCAGTCATTGCAGAGTGTGCTTTGGGATCTCACTGCACATCATCTAATACATGTTTCCTGAATGGATAACATGCAGCACCTTTCCATTTGCCAGTGGAAGATCATGGCTTAGGAAATGTGTGTGTTTGTGTATAATTTTGGTATCAGTATCTCATCTTAGAATCAGATATATTGTTAATAAATTTTAGATTAAAAGGTTTGGGCAGTTTCAGTGACCTACTTGAAAAATGCTTTGAAGATAAAAAAGTTAATTAACTGGAGTGGTATTTAAATCATGTTAACATTTTAATGAAACAAACAGGATTGTAGAAAGAATGACTCTCAGGAAAAGCAAGGATTCAGTTTTGAATGTTAAATTGGGGACATGTATTATTATCTGAGAAGAGCTATGAGTGAATTACTGGGTATTTTACCCCATAGTTCAGCACATAGGTCAGAGCAAGAAAGAAAACTGTCTCAACTTCCTCACAGAGAGGACCCTTAAACCCACGAGTCTGAGTGAAAGCAAAAGAAACGATCTTGGACAAAACTACAAGCGTTCCAAGGGCGGTTCTCAGGGCAACCAGGAGTTGAACATCAGCAAAGTAAAGAAACTGCACAGGGAGTTGGGAGGAGCCACCAATGATGGGCACCGTGAACCTAGGCAGTTTAGAACCATCATAGAGGCCACACTTCTCTGGTGTTGCAGTTAGGGTTTCTGTTGCTGTGAAGAGACACCATGACCACGGAAGTCCTATAAAGGAGTCCATTGGTGTGGCTTACAGTTCAGAGGTTTAGTCCATTATCTCCATGGCTGGAAGGACGGTGGTGTGCAGGCAGGCATCATGCTGGAAAAGAGCTGAGAGCTCTGCATCCAGATTGGCAGGCAGCAGGAGAAATACGTGAGCCGCACTAGGGCTGGCTTGAGCATCTGATACCTCAAAGCCCATCCCCCTAGTGACACACTTCCTCCAACAAAGCCACACCTGCCCAATAAGGCCAGGCCTCCTAATAGTGGCATTTCCTGTGGTCCTTTGGGAGACATTTTCTTTCAGAGCAGCAGCACATCCTGTATAAAATGATGAGACTTCCACTATTGCCTTTGCAAGCTGGTATGATGGTCCATGCATATGTGGTGCTTGACACATCAAGGTACTTAATAAATGCATTTTATTTTAAATATTTACAAGGAAAAAAATCCTTCCATTTTGATGTTTTTGAAATATATTATCAAATGATTAGAAGAAACCTAAGGGTCCTGCACTTAGAATATAATAATATAATAACTATAATATAGGGGCTGAAGAGATGGCTCAGTGGTTAAGCGCATTGCCTACTCTTCCAAAGGTCCAGAGTTCAATTCCCGGCAACCACATGGTGGCTCACAACCATCTGTAATGAGGTCTGGTGCCCTCTTCTGGCCTGCAGACATACACACAGAATATTGTATACATAATAAATAAATAAATCTATAATATAATAACAAGGGAAGCGTGAGACTGAAGGAAAAAATTTCTTTAAAAAAAAAGACCCTAACACTAACAGAATACAGAGTCTTGGGATGAACTTGTTTTGAGTTCTGGCCTCTGTTGACCTAGGACAAATTATTTCACCTTTCCAGGCTAGCTGGTCTAGAAAGTCATGTCTAAAATAGGGATGGCAAGGAAACAACAGTTCTTCTAAGTGTTGGTGGATGTATTAAGTCAACAAACACAGGCAAAGTGCTCACCATAACCCAACTATTATTAGCTATGAGGAAATGAAAGTTGAGTTTTCCGTGTTCCATGGCTCTAAAATGAATCTCAAGTCTCCCATTGCCCTGGATTAAAATTCAGCTTTTGCTTTAGTTTATGAAAATATGTCACCCTTTCTCAAAGGACTACCTGGGAAATTATACAGCCTGGATTGTTTTGTTTTCTAAAAGTTCATATAAGTGCTTATTGTCATATGCTTTTGCTCACAGTGTTTTAAAAATATATTTCTGAGAATGCAAATTAACTTTGGTATTAGACTCTTTAGTAAAGTAAGACACAGTCATGTCACAGCTACTGTGCTGGGGCTAGAGAGGAGACTCAAACATTCAGAGAAACATTAAGGTTCTCAAACATAAGAGCCTCAGTTCTGTTCCCAAGCCACAAGTTATAGCCCCCAAATGTCTGTAATTCCGGTTCCATGAATACAGTTACCTATTTTGACGTCTGAGGGCACTGTAGACATGTGGTGCACTTACATGCATGGCAACAAAACAATCATACACATAAAATAAAAATAAATATTTTTAAAATAAGAGTATTGTTCTGAACATCAATCTTTAGGTCAGTTTTACAGAGTCAAAGAGAATAAAGATTTCACCAAATCTGTTCTGAGTTAGAACTCACCTTAGCTATTTTTAAACACTTCATGATTCTCTAATAGTTGCTTTCTTTACAATTTGGGGATAGTCATCAGTGAACATGGAGCTCTGGTTAGCTGGCTAAAAAAAAATCGTGTTGTATTATATAAACGTTTTCTTCCCATACTGTAGATAATGACTATAATGATCTGGTAAATTTCAAATACAGCCAACAAATTATTGTAGTTGATAATAAAGATGGAAAAAGTCAACCACAGTCTTCCTCCCAGTTTCCCTCTTCCCATGGCTGTGCCCAGTGTTTATCACCAAGACTCAGGTCAAGCCAACCTTCTCATTGGTGCAATGCATTGGGATGACTCAATCTTCTCCTCATTTTATTCCCCCTTTGAATGAGCATGGAAGACACTCGACACTCTCTTCCCTTCTGGACATGTTGCAGGGGTAGTTACATTTACATTTGCCTGAGCTGTGTGTGTGTGTGTGTGTGTGTGTGTGTGTGTGTGTGTGTGTGTGTGTGTTGTGACACAGGGTTTCATAGACCGGCGGAAACACTAAGCATGTCTTTGTTTATTCCCATTACACCTCACAGGGATCCTTCAGGTATGCATAGAAGGAAGGCTCTTGATGACATCTGTAGATCCCACAATATTTTGCTTATAGATTAGCTGTCCTTATGACCAATCATTATTAAGTGGGTGTTTGTAGCATGTACCAAAACATCAATATTTATGCTTCATGTTCAAAATGAAGTTGTTTTGTGATTTATGATTTTGTCTTACAATGCAGTGTGATATCCACAAACTTTCAATCTCAATACTTCCTAAACTACCCGTGGTGTTTCTCTGAATCCTGTAAGTCTTTAGCTCTCTCATTAGATACCAATTTTTTTGTTTTGTTTTGTTTTGTTTTGTTTTGAGAGACAGGGTTTCTCTGTGTAATGGTTCTGGCTATCCTAGAACTCACTTGGTAGACCCAGCTGGCCTTGAACTCACTGAGATCTGCCTGCCTCTGCCTCCCAAGTGCTGGGATTAAAGACGAACTAGATATCATTTTATATGCTCATTTTCAAACCTATCTTATGTTGTGTTAGATGATAGTAGCATGAAGAACTAAACATTAATAAGAAGAGAAATTAATGTTTCACTCCAAGTACCCCAGGACATTACATCTCTGTGCAATCGTGTGAAGAGTCCTTACTACATGCATTCAATCCT